GCTCATACTATATACATCATTAGAATTGTATTTTGATAATCGAAAATAAATCTTTTTAAACAGCAAGTAGACTGACTCGGTCAGTTTTCGTATCGACGAATTTACCGGAAAAACGGCCTACGGACTCATGACTTTGGTGAGTGGGAGTTAGAGCGGAGCCGGTCTATCGAAGACACCGTGTACAGCTACCACCTACGAAGTCAGGGATTTGGACCACACATCGCCCAAATCTGCAAGCGAAACATTTTGGAGAAGGACCAGATCGCCCAACCAAGATCTTCCCCTTATAGTTAAGCAACCAAGTAAAGACAAAGAAAGGAACGTGATGCACTTGATCATCCTCGTATTAGCGTAAGTGCAACTATACATGTTAAATGTCTTTGGAAGATATTGCAGAGGCTATAGATAATTTGACACTATCAATAGACTCACCTATTTTAAGACCACATAGATTAAATATTGAAAATATTCCAAGCATGTTTGAATTCAGACCAGAATTTTTAAAGTCTGACGGAAATCCTAATGACTTAAATAGGTTTATATCAGTGAGTGAAACGTTAATTGCAAATTTTTATCACATACGGAACCCACATAATTTCCAAAATATCTATTTGCTAAATTTACTGATCTCGAAATTAAAAGGAAATGCTAAAGTGCTTGTGAATATCCAAAATATTACAAGTTGGGCAGATTTAAAAGACATTCTGAGTCGGAATTTTTCTGATCAAAGAGATGAAACTTGTCTAAACCGTGATTTGGTTATGTTGAGGGAAATGCCAAATGAAACGCCTCAAAAACTTTATGATAAGTGTCTTCATATTTTGAATCTACTATGCAGCCATCTAAACGTTCATGAACATTCTGAAGAAGCAAAAGTGTTAAAAAGAAATTTATATCAAGAATTAGCTTTGAAAACATTTTTGTGCGGACTACGAGAGCCCTTGGATACAACAATTAGATGTATGAAACCCATATCTCTCAGCCAGGTTTACAATTCGTTATATCTGAAGACAATGTCAGCCATTTCCAAAACTATAACAAACATTTTGGAAAATCACAAAATGTGCCACAGAATCAAACTTCCAGGCCAATGCAAAGGCCAATGAACACTTCAACATTTCAACCTAGATTCAATGCGACTTTCCGACTGGACCTGTAAACTTGCCAAGGCCAGTTTATCGTCCTCAGAGATTTCCGATGAATTCTCAGGTTTTTAGACAAACACAGAATAACAGAAATGTTTTCAAACCTAACCCTAACCGTACTTTGCCACAAACTACTCCAATGAGTACTTCTAGTAGAATTTCTTTCAGACCTGAACATAATTCGACAGACCAGCAACAACCGAAACCAAATTGGATAGCTGAAGAGCTATTCAATACAGAAACAGAAAGTAATAACACCTATGAAGTTCCTGGTAACGAATCTTTTGTTTGCGATCAAACTGTAGCTGAACCACAAAATTCAGATACATATTTCACTGATCAATATTGCGAGTATTACACCCAAGATAATCCTGAAACTGATCACGTAGAACCACTTCAAAATTTTCAGAAAGACTCATTCATAGATCACAAAACCTAGCGCCAGAGGTAATTTCACTTAACGCCAGCAATGCTACTATCCTACATTCTTTTTCCCAAATATGGAATTAAAATGTTGATCGATTCTGGATCAACTAAGTCATTTATTGATCCCAGTATTGCTCGTAGATTTTTTCCAAATTTAATCAGAGATGACCATTTGTTGTATCAACTGTTTTTCAAAAATCCGCTCACAAATATAGTGCATCCAGCCCGGCATCGAAAATTTTCAATCTTCCTAATCGAATGGATTTGAAGTTTTACCTATTTAAATTTCACAATATTTTCGATGGATTGATTGGATTAGATAATCTGAAATTATTGAGAGCCGATATTAATTTAAGCAAAGGAACTTTACATACCCCTACGCCAAAATTAGACTAAAATTTCACCAGCTTTCTAACGACTTAAATTTGATAACCGTTGCACCTCGAACCGAACAAGTAATAAAAATCAAAACATCGATCGCCAATGGTGAAATCGTAATTCCTCATCAAAAATTTCATAATTGCGAGATACCTGAATGCCTTGCGATAGCAAAAAATAATTTTGCGCTGACAACGATTTTGAGTAACACTACTAAGCCTCTTACATTAAATTTTTCTCAGCCGATTTCAGTAGAATCATTTAATTCATCAGAAATACCAGAAATTGATCTCAATTATTTAGACACATCAGAAAAATTTGACTTAGGTTTGTCGAAAATCATGATTGATCACAAAATTCCGAAGAGAAATCAAAGATACTTCAACTTTGCAGAGAGTTTTCAGACATTTCTTACCAGGACAGAACTCCACTAACATTTACTAATAAAGTCAAACATCACATAAAAACCAAAAACGAAAGGCTCATTTACACAAAATCGTATCGCTATCGATTTGTTCACAGAAGCAAAGTAAATACGAGTAACCAGATACAAAAAATGTTGGATTTCAATATAATACGACCAAGTAGCTCAGGTTATAATTCACCTATCTGGGTCATACCAAAGAAGCTAGACGCTTCGGGGAAGCAAAAAAGAAGAGTTGTAATTGACTACCGAAAATTAAATGAACAGACTATTGACGATAAATATCCGTTACCCAATATCAACGACTTGCGTGACAAACTTGTCAAATGACAGTATTTTACTACCCTTGACTTAGCCAGTGGTTTCCATCAAATCGAGATGGAGGAAACAGACATAGATAAAACCGCCTTTAGTACCAAAAATGGACACTGGAAGTTTCTCTGGATGCCTTTTGGCCTAAAAAACGCGCCCGCCACATTCCAACGCGTCATGGATAATATTTTAAGGGAGATACAAAACGAGAAATGTCTCGTATATCTCGACGACATTATAATTTTTTCTACATCCCAGTTTTTCAACGACTCAGAAATTCAAAATTTAAAATACAGCTCGACAAATCAGAATTCCTTCGTAAAGAAGTAGCTTATCTCGGACATGTAGTCACACCAGACGGCGTTAAGCCAAATCCATACAAAATTATTGCCATCCAAAAATTTCCGATTCCAATAACGACTAAGCGGATTAAAAGCTTTCTCGGACTTATTGGTTACTGTAGACATTTTATAAAAGATTTTGCGAAACTCACAAAACTAAGACTAAATGTCTAAAAAAAGGAGCCAAAATTGAACACGATGCTGAATTTATTGACTGTTTCGAAAAATGTAAAAATGTTCTTATGAATGAACCGATACTCAAGTATCCAGACTTGTATAAGCCATTTAACTTAACTACGGATGCGAGCAACGTAGCCTTTGGTTGTGTACTTTCACTAGGCCCTATAGGACAGGATCTTCCTATCGCCTGATGCTTCGCGCACGCTTAATGATTCCGAACGAAATTATAGTACGATTGAGAATAGTCTGGGCGACTAAATACTTTCGGCCCTATCTTTACGGGAGAAAATTCAATCTGATTACTGATCATATGCCCTCAAAATACTTATGATCCCTTCGAGACCCTTCTCGTGTAGAGATCCATACAAAAGAAACTAGTTCATTTTGGAACGACTTAGATGATTCGATTCAAGAATGCGCGGGTACTCAACACCAAAACGTTAAGTTTGACCGACCAGTTCAGAAAGGCTCATCTGAACTAAGTACATCTACATTTAACTTTTCTACCCCAAAACAACCTGATACCGAATCTATGTTCGTAAACGTCGATAATGACGAAGACAGTCTTTTTATTCAACCCCCAGACAAAATTGTAGATATCATTGAACATGAACAAGTCAATCTAGAATATCAAAATAATTGTCCTGAAAATCCAGACGAAACTGTACATTCAAATGCGGACCAACACCCCATTCAGACAATTCCTTAGTTGATTACACAGTTTTTGTTGTTTTTTGTTCTGTTATTGGCACTTGTCGATGAATAACTGGCCAGATCCTTTGATTACGCAGTTAATCAGGGAAATAATCAGATTATCATAAATACAGTAAAACATTCACCTGCACCACCAAAAATTTCTATTCTATTTGAAAGCAAGCAACGAATTAACGTACAATTTTCAGAAAATGATTTTGACGATGATGTATTTAAATTTATTCGAGATTATATTGCTCCTAACATAACTTATCACTTATACTTTGAAAATCCAGATATATATGAAACATTTTTTGTTGTTCTACAAAGGATGTTTAAGTCCGATAGTTTGAAATTCAAAATGTGTAGAACCAAATTAGTCGACATTACGGATAAAACTGATATCAAGGACATTATCCGAAATTACCACGAAAGCAAGTCGAATCATCGTGGAATTGAGGAAACGCATCAGAGAATAAAAGGAAAATATTTTTGGCCTAACTTGAAATAATCAATTCAAACATTTATAAATGAATGTGAAAATTGTCAACAATGTAAATATGAGCGTCATCCGATAAAAATTGCGATGAATCTCACCCCCACTGCATTAAAACCTTCTGAAATCGTACGTATCGATACTTTCACTTTTGAAGGTTCAAAATTTCTCACAATTATAGACAGTTTTTCTAAATATGCTCAGGCATATCAGATTACTTCGCTTTCAGGAACTGAAATTGCTGACAATCTGATATTATTCTTTTCTCATCATGGAATTCCTACCCGAATTATTGCAGATAATGGCACTGAATTCAAAAATACCGTCGTATCTGAACTTTTCTCACTTCATAAGATTAAGCTTCATTTTATTTCGCCAAATCATCCAGTTTCTAATGGAGCCGTTGAACGATTTCAACTATCACCGAATATTCAAGATTGTTGCACACAGAAGGCTTTCAGAAAACCCCTATAAAAATGAAAATGTTGCATGCCATTTTAGTCTACAACCACACCTTACATATTGTCACAAAATTAAAGCCTATAGATATAATCAATGGACATATTACGTCGAATGGACCATTCGATATCAAAATCGACAAATTGCTCATCAATGACTATACCAACAGCCACAAAGAGCGTACAAAGCTATTGTATTCAAAAATAAATTCTGATCTCATTCAAAACAAAGAGAAAACGCTAGAACGGGTTAACAGAGATTGCGATAGTCCGGCTATACTTGATAACCGAGAAACAGTATATGCCAAAAAGCATGTTAGAAAAAAGCACGCCAACAAATTCTCAAAGCCGTGCCGACTACAAAGTGTTAATACGTAGAAAAAGACCGTCACGACGGACCAGCACGGAAAAGTGCATGTAAGTAATTTGAAACGTCCTCTACGCAAACTTTATTCGGTTGACTAAGCCTCGAGCAATTAGATAAGAAAGTATGTATGTAATCTACGTTTACTTTATTCATAATTGCACGCTAAAAATAAGATTTTCTTTCGAATATATTATATTACAGGTTCCCAGGAATCATAGGAATCCATGGTACGATAACGTTGAAGAATTTAGAACATAACCTAGGGTTGATACCCATGAAATTAGGGACTACCAAAATTACAAAAAATTGTCACTCAATACTGTATTTTTACGACGTCAATTTAATAACCACTGAAGTTAATGACCTTAAGAAAAAAACCGACAATGTTGCAAAATTATCCAGAAAATATATTGAGCACTATAAACACTCAGCAAATTACCTCAATCTTTTGTATTTCTTAGAAACAAAAGTAGACGGAAGGCTAAATGACATTTTTCCCTGTAATTACGAAACTTTTCCATCATTCTCTGTTAGAATAAAAAGGGGGTTAACAAACGGCTTAGGTTCAATTTTCAAAGCAATCACAGGAAACCTGGATGATTCAGATGGTGAAAAACTCGAGTCACTAAATTCAGTGGTATTAAAACTATCCACAAGACAACTCCCTTTAGAAGTTACTTTGGATAATATTCCAAATTTTGAAAAGCTCATTAAAATCAGCCGTTATACATTTGATAGAAAAATAACATACAGTCTTCAAATTCCAATTGTTCATACATTGCAATTTGATTATTATCACTTATATTCAATTCCAACCTTTCATAAGGGTCTGTTCAAAGTATGTCATCCCTTCTGGAAAATATCTTGTAAAGAATGAGTTGTACTTCGCCTTTGCGGAAGACGCATGGGCGGAAACGGTCGCAAAACAGTACGTTTGTAAGGAACTAGATTTAAGAAGAATCAGAGAATCCAATCCCTGTAAAGTTCAAGTCCTGGAACATAAAACTCCCACTACCTGCCGAGAAGTAGAAGCCGTAATCACAGGGCCAGTAATGAAGAAACTGCATGATTTCGGACAATGGATCTTGCTTATACCCAATGAAACCACCATGACATTAAGCTGTCAAGAAGGCCAAGAAACAGTCAAAGTTTTGGGATCCTACTTAGCCGAAATTCCAGTCGGTTGTACACTGGAACTAAATTAAGGCCTGATTTCCAATCAAGAACCTATATCGATTGGAAGTCAGCCAATTATTTTTCCAAATGTCGATACCAATACTTCAATTGCTACCAAGCCGAATGACTTCAGCCTTCATCTGGACCAAATAGAATTTGATGAAGTTCACAAAATAAAAAGAAGATTAATAGAAAATCGTGTTGACATCCATTCACATAAGGTGTCGAACATTCCCAGTTCTTGGACAATCCTGTTGTATGGAGTACTGATGCAGCTACTTTGCTGTTTTGTCTACAAGAAGATCATTCCGAAGATTTTACTAAGCCGAAGAAACGACAAGGAACTCCTATTGAAGAAGTTGATCTTTCCAATGTGCAACTTCCTCGTTAACCCTCGAAGTTGCATCTACAAGGGGAGGCGTTATAGTACAGAAGATTTACCCCTACGAATAAAGAAGAGGATCGAGTTTCCCTGGATCAGGACTTTGCCTTATCCAGTCTTATTTTATTGTATTCACAGTCAGTTAGTCTGTTGTTAGAGCTCATACTATATACATCAATAGAATTGTATTTTGATAATCGAAAGTAATTTTTTTTTAAAAGCAAGTAGACTGACTCGGTCAGATAATTCGCATACAAAAATGTGTTTGAGATATTTCGTAAGCTTACATACTGCTAAATTTCTTAACATTTTACATCTAAATATCCGATGCATACAAAAAACTTTGACAATCGTGTTATTTTTCTTCAGGCTTATGGCTTCTCTTGTGATATAATAATATTAACCGAGTGCTGAAAAAAGTCTGATGAATGCTTGTATTCTATTCCAGGCTACAATGTTTATTGTAACCAAGGGAGCTCTTGTCAGAATTATGGCCTCGTGATTTTTACTTGAACATCTGATAATATTAAAATAAATGATTCAAAATTGCAAACATCGGAAATTTCTCTCACTAGATTATCTTTTACGATGGATAATGTTAAATACGGCATCACTTGCACATACAGACCACCCTCCTCATCCATATAATGTTTTTTAAACGATTTTGAAGAGTTTGTAACGGTTTCACCGTCCGATTGTATTTATTAAATCACTTCTCGATTATCATTTCAGAATCGCAACTTATTAATCCCATCTCTAGCTTTTTTACTTGGAAACATTTCCGCTTGGAGCGCGCTTGATGCGGAGTTCCTGATCTGCGATCTTCCTCGCGCTTCCTTTTCACTTGAGCCGCCGATCTAACAAGAGCTAAGAATTTTGTTCTCTGTAGCATGAGGTCATATAGCACCATGTGCTAGCATTTCGTAAAATGTGTGTCCAAATAGGATAAAATGGTGAGTTTTATAATACTATACAGCTTTATTGCTGGATCTGCCTGTAGTTTATAGATAATCGATATGTAAGTGATATATTTCTTGTACGATTTTAAAATATCCATCGAACGTCATTTTCGACTACTTCGATCATTCACCATAACTTTAATCAAATCGAGGTAGAAATCGATCCACATCGATTTTACCTCTGTGTGCGTATATACAGGGTGTTCCATAATTATTGCGACAAAATGATAGGAGTTGTAGAGGGCATCAAAATGAACAATTTTGCCTTATAAACCCCTGTTCGAAAATATGCCGATTGGGCTGCAGCAAAAAAATGATCAGTTTCTTGAAACAGCTTACCTACAGTAATTGGTCAAAGTGTCCTCCACTCTGTGGCATACCCCCGGTATGTCCTGGACATGTGCGGACGCGGCCATCACTCTTCCCAGTAGCTCTTGTTGGTTGGGAACAGGAGTTTAGTACACTAAAGCTGCCAGATGGCCCCAGACAAAATAATCCAGTGGGGTCAGGTCGGGTGACCGCGCAGGCCAAGGCACAGGGCCACCTCGGCCTATCCACCTATTTGGAAATTTGTCGTCCAAATACTGCCGCACTTGTAAAGAAAAGTGGGCTGGAGCGCCATCGTGTTGAAACCACATGTTGGCTCTTATGTTCAGTGGCACATTTTCTAATAGTTCCAGTAGCACATGCTGTAAGAATCGACCATAAGCATGCCCATCCAAACGTGGTGGAAGCAAATATGGCCCGATGATATGTTCGTCCACAATGCCGCACCAGATGTTAATTGAAAACTGATGTTGGTCTCTATGGATTGCTATGGCATGAGGGTTTTCTTCATCCCAAATGTGACTGTTACGGCTATTAAAATAACCGTCCTTTGTAAAAATGGACTCTTCAGTGAACCAAAGTTTGGTTGCCTCAACTCCTGCTACAGCCACTAACGATAAAAACGTCGACGCGGCAGATAGTCTTCTGGACCCATGGCTTGGACTTTTAACAGGTGGTATGGGTGTAGTTGCTGGTCATGGAGAACCCGCCAAACAGTAGTTTGAGACGCTCCCATACCATGTGCAATAGCACGCACGCTTGTACGCGGATTTGCCTCTACATGATGCAGAATCGCTTCCTCAAATTCTACTGTGCGCTTCGTGAAGGACCGCCCTGCTCCCGCGAGGTGTCTGATGCTGCCACTGACACGAAGACGTCCATGAATCCTTGCAAAAATGGCGTTATGCGGATGAGGACGTTCTGGAAACCGTTGGGCGTAGATTCGCGAGGCTCATCTTCCGTTACCACCAGCTTCTCCGTAAATTAAATGCATATCCGCAAGTTCCGCATACGAATAACGCTGCATTTTAACACTAAGGTACTGTTATTTACTATCTAGTTTGACGCACCACTCAGTTAAATTAAATGAATCGGTGTGGAGAATTTACGATAACAAAAATGTAAACACAGCCTCCTTTTTTTACAAACCGGCGAGACCATGAAATGTGCTAGACGAACATTTTGCAGCTGGTGAATTTTTTGTTTCTCCTATGAGCTCTTAAGGTAAAATTAGCGGTAGTGCTCAAACGGCATATTTACGAACAGGGGTTTATAAGGCAAAATTGCATATTTGTATGCCCTCTACATCCCCTATCATTTTGTCGCAATAATTATGGAACACCCTGTATATTCATAGTTCAGTGAAATTATGAGTACGTTGATTATGAATATTCGATATTTGTGTTTTTATATCAGAAGCATGTGGAGAAATTTTTGATGACCACCATCTTGTTTTACGCTTTTTTGCTATTTCATGATTTTATTTTATGAAAGGCATTTCCAATTTTCGGTTTGATTTTATCAAACTATGTAATGTAATTCTAACCTAGAAAATCGTTGGTTCTCTTTTGAGGCAGACTGAGATTGGAAATGCCTTGGCCATTGGGGCACGTTGCTAATGCACACGGTTCTTTTTCAGATTGGGGCCACCCCCTTTCCCTTTACCTTTGTCTTTGACCTTTCCCTTTGCCTTTGTCTTTGACTTTGCATTGCTTGGCCTATCACTTCACCCATGCATGTGCCTTGGCAGCGCCATCACCCTTGAGTTCAACTTCGCCTACATCTAGTTTTGAAGCCACTAAATGTGAGGTCACCCCTCATAACTGGGACCTCCACCTCAAGCACCTGGCCATCCTCGATTCAGTCCAGTCAAAATGGACCAGCTTAGCGAAAGATAAGTGTATAGTTTTATAGCAGCGCCAAAGATTTAAAACTTATTTTGTTCTTTAAAATTTCAATTTCAAATGTAATGAAAGTGCTTTTCAAGTTAAATAAAATCTGTTAAATGTTTGTGTTCTGTTTGTTCTTCTATCCTCTAGCCATGTCATGGTCGACACACAGCTACACGCCTGTAGATGTCTTCATGCCACCGACTGAGCTACCATCTTTTCTGGACTTTTTGCGGAAAGGAAGGATTACATAAATTGGCGCCCAACGTGGGGTTGCAGAATAATCCTTTAATTGATATTGAAATATTCTTAGGAGATATTAATATTGATATCCTAAAGAGAAATTACTACTATGGTAATGTTTATGTTTCCCTATTGAATTCTTATGGTCTTGAATCTACGATAAATGGTTATACTCGTATAGGTTTGAATTCTAAAATACATAGATCATATGTTTATCAAAATCAATATAAAAAATATGTACAGTATTCAATCCTTTATTATGGGAACTGATGTAACAGACCACTATCCTATAGTTCTTTATATAAGTCAACAGCAACATGACATACACAATTTTAAATCTAAGACTATAGCTAGAACTATCGAAAAAATTAATTTATATACTTTTGAAAACTTAAGTATGTAGATTGGCGAAATGTGACTGATATGACGGATGTCATTCAATGCACGAGTGCATATGTTGTCAGCTAAAATGTGATAAGCCCAATATTTTTTTACTTATCGTGATTTTAATTGAAATTCGATGAATGTGCTTTCAGAAATAAGCTGACAAACTCACACCTTGAGGAAATATTCGGTGTTCATGATGTGAATTTGAAAATTGAAAAATTCAATAAAATCATTTTAAATGTATTCAACAAACACATTCCGTTGAGATCTGTTAAAATTACAAGAAGAAAAGCACCATGGATAAATAGTGATGTCAAGCAAGCTATGGCTGATAGGGATAGAGCCAGTATTAAAGTTAAGAAAAGGCATTCAGAGGAAAATTTCATGGAATATAAGCGATTGAAAAATTTAGTCATTCATAAAATTGTTCAACAAAGAAGACAATATTTTAAAAACCTTTGTTTCAACATAAATAGTAAAGACTTGAGGAGAGAGCTGAAAGCTATAAATATTAATTCCAATGCTAAACAACATGTAGAGGACATATTTAAGGATCGTGATGAAATTAATAATTATTTCCTTAATTGTATTCCAAAAAGATGTAATAACTTGATGAATGACTTCTAAGTATATACAAAATAGAATTTCTGCAAATGAATTTCGTTACAATCTAGTCGATGAGTTAGTAGTTTTGAATACACTCACGACTATAAGAAACACGTCTCTGGGCTCTGATGACATATCTATATACCTGATCAAGCTATGTGGTCCGTTTATTTTTCCTTTCCTAGTAAACATTATCAATTCGGTAATCGTAACATCAAAATTTCCTTCTGTCTGGAAAAATGCGATTATTACACCGATCCCTAAAACTAATAATCCTGAACAGTTGTCAGATTTAAGATCAATAAGTATTTTATGCGGATTGTCTAAGCTTGTAGAAAACGTAATAGTAAAACAACTTATTGATTATTTAAACCCAAATAGTTTTCTCTATTCCACGCAGTCGGGATTTCGAGCAGGTTTCAGCTGTGCAACTGCACTGCTTCATATAACAGACGATATAATACAGTCGTTAGACCAGAACCAGTCAACCGTCCTTGTGCTGTTAGATTTTAATAAGGCTTCCGACACGATAGATCATGTAACACTTTTAGCTATCTTAAAATCCTGCGGAAAATGTTTTGAACCTTTGCAGCTTTTCAAATCGTACTTGGAAAATCGTAGTCAAACAGTCAAGCTTGGTTCTAGAAAATCTGCATCCATGGCAATCAAATCGGGTGTGCTGCAAGGTTCTGTGTTAGGACCATTGCTTTTCACATTGTACACTAGTCAGTTTAGCAAGTTTATTAAAATCAGCTCAGCAGCTTACTCATTGATCAGCATCTGAGGTACAGGGATCACATAACGAAATGCATAGAGAGCATACGCATCGCTAAAATTACTATATCCCCATATTTATCAACAGTCACTGAGAAAATGTTGTGCGATACGCTAGTACTTTCACAATTTATATACTGTGCACCTGTATTTGGTCCATGTTTAGATCAAAACAGCGTTAATCGTATTCAACGTGTACAGAACTCGTGCATTCGATTCATATACAGGATTAAGAAGTATGAGCACGTTTCCCACAAGTTGAAGGAATTAAATTGGCTAAACATGGAGAAAAGATTGCGCTTATATACTCTCTGCTTATTTCACAAGATACTGTATTATAAGAACCCCCCTATCTCTACCAAAGGTGTCATTTCGTGCAGATGTCCATAATGTTGACACGAGACTTAAGCGCCTAATAAGTATACCATCTCACAGAACAGTAATTTTTGAAAGAAGCTTCAAATTTGCAATTGCTAAATATTATAATTCTCTTCCTTATTATCTTAAGTCATGCAATCCACATAAATTTAAGGAACTAGTTGCGGATTACTTTATGACCAGTTAAATTATTACAACTTCCAAGTTTAGTTTAAGTGACCCTAGGTGTGTTTTTTGGTTAGTGTTAGGTTAGGATATTTTTTTACATGTATTATACTACTGGCAAGGGTTGAGTGGAAGAACACCTCTAGGTGAACTCCCCTTTCAGGTTTTCCCAATATCATGATCTTCTTTCTCTTGTGTGTGTGTGTGTGTGTGTGTGTAAAATGTACGTATATGATGGGGAAATAAAGACTATTTTTATTATGATTATTATTATTATTATTATTATGTAGAACTGGATGCATGCAGATTCTCTGATCATAAAAGATACTACTGAGAAAAAGACTATTGCCTTCAAAGAAAATCGGAAACTAAAGCCATGGATAACGAATGGTATAATAAGCTCAATAAAAACAAGAGACTTCATGAAAAAAGACTTCTAAAGAGATATGATCCACGTTATGAAACTTCATATAAATAACATAGAAATACTCTAAATAACTTAATAAGAAAAACTAAACATGAATTCTTCAAAAATAAAACAAATACAACAGATCTAATACAAAATGAGCAAATAGCCTGTCTATGTTCGGAGCACAAATTACGCTTGCATGTTACACAGTTATCTCTGCCTTTTCTGTCTTCAGTTCTGGGACATCTGGAGCAGCGTTTGTTTCCTTTGATTTCCAGTATAGGTGGTATTTGGTTTACAATATCCCTTTCTGCTATATCAAATACCACTAAAATCTGCTGCCTGAAATAAGATAAACAATATTATATCGATAAGCAGCTTTTTCATTCTGTTACCTTAGATTACGTGATACATTTGTTATTTCAGGCCTCCCCTTCATGTGTTCTTTGGCAAGCTCTTCAGCTAGCTGCATTAGGAACATTCACCGCGGTATTTTCATAGTGTTAAAACTATTGGCTTGGTAGATCACAGAAGAATTCACAGCACCCCCATCAAGCATACCGTATAATACTCTAAGAGGCCATCTTTTCGTTCTTCTTGATACGGACTTACTGTGACATAGCTGGTCAAAAACATCGATTCCACCTTTGGTAGCATTATAAAATAAATTAATTTCATATTTCCCTGAATTCTAGTCCTGAATTCTAGTCAACCTCGTTACCGTTATGCATTGTTGACATGAGTATTACTACCTTATTTTTTTTGGCAGTATGAGACACCAAAACTACTTCTCCATCGAAAGCAAATCTGTTAGGCTCTAATATTTATGGTTTAAGAAATTGGGTTGAAATTTCTGGTTTATTTTTCCATAGGGTACCTACAAATGTTATTCCTACTTCCTTCAATGATTTTGCCATGTCCATAGAGGAAAACCAATTATCTACCGTGATATTCCTATTAGTTTTGTGAATTGGTTCGGATAATTTTAGAACATATTCTGTGGGTAATGGAAGGTTAGTTGGACGATCTTTTTCGCCAATATATGGAATTGCTGAAAACATGTAGAAGGTTTTTGCATCACACAACATCATTATCTTGATGCCGTATTTATCAGGCTTATTTGGGATATACATGCGAAATGGACAGCAGCCTCGAAATCCAATAAGTTGTTCATCAACAGTAACGTATTCCGATGGCGTGTAATTATTTCGACAATTTTCAACATATCTTTCCCAAATATCGCGAATAGCACAAAATTTATCTAATTCTTTCCTTTTTTTTCGGGTAGCATTGTCATCTAATCGAAGATTTTTTATAAGCAAAGAAAACATGTTTTTGCTCATGGTTGCTCTAAAAATTGGTGCGCCATACTTTTTAGGCCACAGCTCCTCTAGGTTAACATGACTATTCTTCAATAAACCACTTATGTATAGTAAACCAAAAGATGCTTCTAATTCCGTTTTATCGGTCTGTCCTGTATATCTTTGTGATCTTGAAAGCTGTGTCTGATTTCTGCTTATTTCTACATTTGTATAAGTAACAATTGTATGCATGTTCTCGTCAAAAAATAATTTCCACACCTCATCTTCGGTTTTCGCAGTATGTGCTGCCCCTTTAGACCCAGGAATATGCAGAACCAAACTTTTCTTTATTGTTCGTGAATGTTTTGCATGAAAAGGTTTCGAGTTCCATTTGTAACCATTTTTTCCATAAATCACTTATCTTTATAGATCTGCTAACGGTATCTCACCGTCGGATGACTGGTCTTTAGTAGGCTCATACACCATTTCGTCCGCCTCTACTTCTTCTTCCTCCTGATGATCTTCAGCTTCACTTCCACTATCACCCAAGTCATTATTACTATAGTCACTATCCTCTTCCCTCTTTCGTAGCGTCTTACAATCTCTTCGAGTTCTTTGTCACTTAAATATCTTTTAAAGGTAGACATGGTTTTTTATTCCGAAAATAACAACACAACTCACTGGCGACCCCAATAAAATATAAATAATAATAGTCGACCGCACTCATTGCTTGCTGTGATAATACTAATGACCAAGCTTGAAAGGTAGGTGGAGAGAGCTGGCTGCAGCGGAATATTCGTAAGAAATATGACTTAAATATTATCCGGCTGGGTCACGGGCGACCCCATGTTGTCGTTTAAGGGTTAATTTAAGACAGCAATAATTACCCCAATTCATAAGTCTCGCGATTCACACCTTGAACTACCGCTCTATCAAAGTAATTAATATTTTATCAAGATTTAAAAAAATGTCTCAAGTATAGACTTCAAAGTTTTCTCAGGGCGAATAACATGCTGTCAGTTAATCAGTTTGGCTTTAGTGAGAGCCAGAGTACAACTGATGCTATACTACAATTGACTAACGGGGTAACTTATTATCTGGATAATGGCACCAATTGTTTAGCTGTCTTCCTGGATCTCGCTAAGGCGTTTGATACTGTACCTCACTCAACACTTCTCAATGTTCGAAATGCGTATGGCATACGTGGAGTTGCCTTGAGCGAGTTTTCTAGTTACTTGAGTGATAGGATGTAGATAGTCAAGATTGGTGAAAATCTGAGTGATCAAGTCATGGTTCAAATTGGTGTTCCACAGGGTACGTCCTGAGCCCTTTACTCTTCATTACCTATATAAGTTCTCTTACAGAACTAAAAATAAACCATGGCACTATTATATCGTACGCTGATGACACGGTTATCCTCTTGGGGGTCCTTGGTGGCGTAATGTTAAAGCAACGGTAGATGACGGTCTGTCAAAAATTGTATGCTAGTTACAAATATTCAAGCTGACTCTAAACATTGGTAACACAAATTATATGGCTTTCTCACTTACCTGTTTCAGTCGACCACATTTTGCCAATATAGAGCTGGGGGATGGGTATTTTGGGGAGGTGGAGTCTGCCAAATATCTGGGTATAACAATTGATAGATATCTCAAATAGGACAAACATGTTGCACGACTTGATAGATTTTATACTCTAAGGCATATTTTAAGCAAAATTTGTTGATAGTAGTCTATAAAGCCCTAGTAGAATCCTTGATAAGATATGTAGTTCCTATCTGGGATGTTCTGTACAATAACACTCTTAAGCAATTGTACGTGGTTCAGAATTATATTATTAAAGTTATATTTAGAAATAATAAATTGTACCCTACAGCCCTCTTATATTCTGAAGACGTTCCCAATGTTAGAACTTTGTATATATATTCTGTGTGCCTGTTTGTTTATACCAAGCCATCCTCTATTGAAACAGTCAATGACACTCATTGCACTAGAAATAACTTCAATAGACATCTTATTACATCAAATAGTAACACTATTGTTAAACTGAGATTTTTTAGTTTCTTAGCCCCTAAGTTGTACAACCCGTTACCTATTAATATTAGAAAAATTTATAGAAAAAAATATGTTAAAAAAAAGTTGGCTAAATTTTATATTTCAGAATTTGAATTTGTTTCTGGTAATGCTGTAATTGTATTATGTATTTCAAGTACTTTTTTGCGAGTATTACTGATTTTAGTTACCTATAAGTCTTAGATTGTATTCTTCTTGTATAATATTTCCTGCACATACAGATATTTATGCCTAGGTGTAGAATAAGCATAATATGTAAACTTGGAAAACTACTGCTGATTAATGTAACTATTTTTTGTTATCTGATACAAATATATAAATAAATGAATAAGTGAATTAAATTTGCACTCCAAGGAAATGATTTATATTATAGAGACAATTTATAGGCTAGATGACATGGTGTGAGAAAGCTTCTGAAAGGGTGACATAAAAAAGAATTAAAAAAAAATATTTTCACCTCCAACGAAATAGTTACCCAGAGTACGACATAACTCAAAATTAGTGAAAATAGCGGACCAGATCAGCATCTACTGAAGAAGGGACAGCGAAATGAATATATTAACGGAAACGTATTATATCTAGTCGAAGCATTTAATTAGTCGGCTCTGCAGGGATCTCATATTTTATTACTCATTTTCTCGTTCATAATACGTCTATATTTTTCTCCAATTCTGCTGCTGTAAGGAAGCACTTCAAAAGCTTGTTTCTCCTACACAGCCTACAAGTGAAAATACCATCTGTCTTATCTCGAGCTGTGGAACAGGCACAGAAAAGGCCAATATTTGTCATAACTGAGCTGTTGCGATGTAGCATGCACTTGAAATTTATCCTCTGTTTGTCTGTATATACTTGTCGGTCCAGCCTCATGTTCTTGGCAATGTTTTGGAAAAAAATTATTATGTAGCGACCGCAGTTATAACCGTCTTTTTGTATAATGTGGTATGGTTCTTTGAAATTGGAATTGATTATGTTTGCTTTTATACCTCAAAAATGTCAGTCTTTCACAATAAGTATTTTTGAGTAACTCCTTAACCATGGGTTCAAGAAACGAGACTAAATTTTCCTTGACGGGGGAAAACAGTAATTTGTAATAATTATTTTTGAGAACTGGCATAACAATCAAATCTTTTGTGAACTTAATGCCTTCAACAAAGAAGATATTATGGATGATTTCGAAACTGAAACGATTTGGAACGTTACCTTGAGGGTGAAAATGATTTTTTAATTATAGTTCTTATCTGCCACTCCTACAGAAGCTGTCTCACACCATGCCACCTAGCTTATAAATTGTCTCTATGAATGAATTATAAATTACATTTTTTTATCTGCCACCTCTACAGTAGGTTTCTCACACCATGCCACCTAGCTTATAAATTGTCTCTATGTGAGAATATTTCTTTGAGCTACAACTGATTTTGGGGAATCGTTACCTTGGGGATGAAAATGAATTCTTAATTATATTTTTTTATCCGCCACCTAGCTTTCATATAAAATGTCTCTATGATGAAGTATTCTTTGATCTACTGATTTTGCGAATCATTTCCTTGGGGGTCAAACAGGATTTATAGGAATAGTTTTTTATCTGCCACTGCTTCAGAAGTTCTTTCACACCATGCCACCTAGGATATGAATTGTCTCTATAACAAAGTATTTACTTGAGGGTCAACTCATTTTGGGGAATCATTTCCTTGGGGGTAAAAATGAGTTTTTAATTATATTTTTTTATCTGCCGCTCCTTCAGAAGGTTTCTTACACCTTGCCACCTAGCTCATAAATTGTCTCTATGATAGGATAATCTTTTGAGTTACAACTGGTTTGGAGAATCATTTCCTTGGGAGTGAAACAGGATTCATAGATGTATTTTTTATCTGTCACCCCTTCAGAAGCTCTTTCACACCAGCCACCTAGCCCATAAGTTTCCCTAATAATATGGTATTTTTTTGAGGTACAACTCATTTTGGGGAACCATTTCCTTGGGGGTGAAAATGAATTCTCAATTACATTTTTCATCTGCCACCTCTCTAGAGGCTTTCTCACACCATGCCACTTAGCTTATAACTAGTCTCTATGATAGGATAGTTTTTTTAGCTTCAAATGACTTGGGGAAGCATTTCCTTGGGTTGAAAATGGATTTATAGATATATTTTTGGATCTGCCACCCCTTCAGAAGCTCTCTCACATCATGCGACCTAGCCTATAAATTGTCTCTATAAAAGAGTACTTTTTTGAGGTACAACCCATTTTGGGGAATCATTTCCTTGGGAGGGATGTTTAATTATATTTTTTTAACTGCTATCCCTTCAGAAGCTTTCTCTCTTCATGCCACCATTCCTATAAATTGTCTATGCAACACTTTTTTTTTGCTGAGGTTCAACTCATTTCGGGGAATAATTTCCTTGAGGGTGAAAATTTATTCTTAATAATATTTTTTTTTATCTGTCACCCATTCAGACGCTTTCTGACACCATGCCACCTTGTCTATAAATTTACTCTATAATTCAGTATCTTTGGGGGTACAACTCATTTTGGGGAATCATTTCCTTGGTGGTGCAAATGAATTATCAGTTATATTTTCCTATCTGCCACCCATTCGGAAGCTTTCTCACACCATGCCAAAAAAAGGACAGATGAACATGGTATTAACCATCGAGATCGTAGCTTTTGTTTAGTAGATTCTTAATTCCTAAAGCACATTCGTTACATTACAAATCAGACGTTTCGCTGGGATCCAAAGTACTGATTCTGGGGTAGCTACACTACCATTTTAGTGCGTTTTAAGACAATATTTCGCCGATTATGCGATGTTGTTATTATTATTCGACATTGAAGGCAGTTCTCATATCGAGTTGGTTCATACTGAATGAAGTGAAATGAAATGTATCAGAAGAACATAAAAAATATCAAAAACAGTTGCGCTTGATTCTCTGTCAGTGACGGTACGTTTTTGGTAGGAATGTCTCCTAACAGTTTAGAAAAGTACAATTTCGGTCTCGTTGCAGAATGATTCTGCGGGTTGACCTAAAATTGAAACTAAATAAAAGTCTGGAGCTATAACTTGGTAGACAGGCTCTAAGAAAATAGTTGTTTTATGACTTTCCACTTGACATGGATGCGTTGGAAACAAGAAAAAGATAATTTGCTAGCACGACGGCAGTAGGAAATGGCGGATGAAACACGTGAGTAAGAACCTCAAGAAAAGAAGCAAATGGTTAATTTGAAACATGAATACAAGGAGAATCTGAAACACGAATTCAAGTCGAGTCTTAAAATACGACGAATTTTGAAATCCGGTAAACACGAAGCACGAAACACGTTGGTAGTTGAGCCGAAGCTGAGCCTAGAAACACGGTCGAAGAAAAAAGTCCACAAGCAACTGGTGAGCAGGAACAAATGTGGTAGGTGTCCATTCTTTAAAGCCCTCCTATTTCTTAACTAAAAAAGGCGAGTCTCCTTTGAATTAATTTTTTTGGAAACCAAATTCTAATCTCTCAAGCTGAAATTTTTAGTTAAAAAGGAGCAACTATGGCACCCTAGCAAGCACAATCTAAAAGTAAAAAAGATGTTGACACTGAGAGAATGATGTTATTGGGTCAGTTGGAAAGATTTTCAAACTATGTAGCAGAGTTTATGGTC